AGGTCTGTGGATCGGCCCGGGGGCCGCCAATGTTTGACCGCCAAACTGAGTTCTGATTTATGAACTAAATCTAATATTTTTATGCCTTAGCAGTTAGTTTTGATTTTAAAAACAATTCAAAACTTCTTTTTTAAACCTAATAATAATTTTTAGCCAAAAAAAATTGGACTAAACCAAAATTTACCCTGGCGGTCGCAGTGGAGCACTGTGGCAGCTGTAGAATTTTATGCTACATTTATCTATACAAAAACTTTAACATGTAAATGACTATTGTTTCTAGAGAGATGGAATTTATTTAGTACTTATTCTTAACGTAATATGGGGTTTGCTCAACTGAAACCAATACAATACGCCAACTTACGGAAAATCTTGTAGGCCCAAATGGAATTTAAAGTCATTTATGTAAACTAAAAAATGACATTATTGATTATTTTTTATTCCAGGCGAAGCAATAGGAAAAAATTATACCGCTTTTACATAATAAATTTTTTAAAATAAATTTAAACAATTGTGTGACATTCTAGTTTTTAAAATATAGGTAAAAGGGAAAATTTTACTGAATCATTGAAAAGGTTCAATTATAGATGATATTAGTCCTCGGCAAGTGGGACAATGAGCTGTGTTGCTTTTTTGGACTTGTTGAATGCAGAGCTGACAAAACAAAAAATGTCTGCAAGGCATTACTAATGCATTTTGTTTATTGACGGTACAAACAACGCACTTTGGTGACACTGTTGAAGTAGAAATTTGCAAAGGAAGACTCTCACCAACCTCGTTCATTGAGTTTTCATCCAAAGCACTAAAAATATTTAGAAACTTCAAATACAATTTTCCATATTTCATGGAAAATAACAGATTATCAAATAAAATTAAACTAATTAATTTTGTAAAAAAATTGATAAAGGTTAATAAATAAGAGGTGTCATAAACTGCCAAAATCCTCTATGTCGATCACCATGTTTGATTTCAAACATCTATTGAGACTCTCTGCATTGTTATTGGTTTTGTGGTTCAAGCCATAAACACTGAATACTTCTGGAGTCACTATATTGAGCCAATAACTCTTAAAATACCTTTTAAAAGCAAGTAGTTTGATTTTGATTTCGCGACTAAATTGTGCAATCTCAATAACTCGAGATCCCCAAGCAACCAAGATTTTGTTTGCAGAAAGGAGACAAAGTGCTGAAACTTTTTGTGCCCACTTCTTTACTTGAATTTGGTGGTGGTATTCCCTCTGAAGACCAAGAATTGCTAATTGCTTGGTGATTGCATTTTTGAAATGAAACCTAAAGATAAGGGTTTAAAGGAGATCATTAATTGATAACAAACTCTGAAAAACTTGGATAACTTAGAGACTGGAAACTAAGTAATAACAAAGTAATAACTTATACCTGCAACCATTTACCAAGCTTTCACTCCAAGTTGTTTTTAAAGCATTCTGTAGTCCTCGTTCAAAATCTGACATAATGGTGACTGGAGAGAAATCTAAAACTTCTTTTATTTTGGAAAAAACAAGCTTGTATAGAGCCTCGGATTTTGATGTCATTAAAGCGCATACAGCTGGAACAGATATTCCCCAAAGGTGAGGGTTATCAGGATCAAAATTCATCTGATCCTCATCTGGAATTGGATCTTCAAGTACTGCTGAATACTCAACAGAAAATATCAAGAGCTGATACCACTTACTTTCCTCCATGCGTGGTGTCATGCTGGAAGTACAATAAATGTAACTATAATTTACAACTGTAAATAAAAGTGTTCTACCTAACGTTTTTAATATATCACTTTTTTCGTCTACGGGCTGTCCAATAATAACGTTAAAAAAATAAGGAAGGGGGTGTCTAAATTTTTTTGAAAATTTTTGCTAAGGGTGAGGGGAGGAGGTCAAGTAAAGTTGACATCAACAATGTTGCTTTATTTTTTTAATTTCGTTACTCAAAAAAAGAAAAATTTGCCTGCGTTTTTAGCGCAGCGTCTATTTAGGGGAGGAGGGTTATCAAAAATTGACGTTATTTTATAGGGGAAAGAAGTGTCTCTGGAAATTTAACAAATTGTTGACATGGAGGAGGGGGTAATGTAAAAATAGCCAAAAGTTTGTTGATGTAATTAATGGACAAACCCCTAGATAAATATATGTTCTTCTAGAACATATATTTTTTTGAAAAAGTTAAATGCATATGTATAAATACCTAAATGTTCCATCAACAAAACACACTTTGGCCGATTTCGCCTTGTAGATGACTAGCATATGCCCAAACAGCAATGCTACGTTATCCTGTTCTGCAACTGATCCCAAGAAAATGTCTCCATAGCGATGGCATTCTTTGTCGTTCAGAACTTCAGCAGCTTCATTAGGTGATTTTGAAGGCTCATTTAGCCTTCTCCTCTTCTGAAGACTTGGGATAATTTGACGAAAAATAACAGATTCAGAAACAACTGCAGGAAACTCACACAAAGTGTTTTGAAAAATTAAATGCAGGTCTTCAGATGTTGCTTCTGCTTTTTTCTTCATGGTACTTTTAGCAAGCAGCACTTCAAAGTCTGTTTCTCTTGAACTGTAACTGTGAACAGTTGTAACCTGAGGTTTATCTTTATGAATAAAAGCTCTGCCTTTGCAGTTCATTCTTGTAAAAAAACGACACTTAAGATACAGTTTGTCTTTATAAAGTTTATCTTTAGTGTATCCAAAATCACCAGACCAAAACACATTTGAATTTTTTCTTTCTCCTTCAGTTTCCTTATAATTTTTTGATAAGTTCTCTAACGACATTTTAGAATATTGATTTTCTTAAAAGTTTCTTAAATTTTAAGTTTTAATTCGAACAGAATTTTATTGCACGTGCAAATTAAATTGTTTATTGTGCGTGCAAATTAACTGTTCATTTAAACTGCTGTTCTCCATTGTAGGTAATGCTAACTTTGTTAAGCTGATGCGAAATTAGGGTGAAAAGTTAGGAAATATTCATCGAACTCTTAAATAAGTTTCTTTTTGAAAAGTGATTTTTTGAAAAAAGATTTTCTCTTAGTACTAGTTTTTTATAAAATAAAAGTGTGATCATAAAATCATATTTTTGATGTTAATCATTAAAAAGAACTTTTGACAATTAAAAATTTTCGATCTTATTCCGTTTTTATTGTTTTCGACATTAACTAGAAAATCTTATTTTTAATGTTAATCGTTAAAATGAGTTTTTGATCTTATTCTGTTTTTATTGCTTTCGACATTAATCAGAAAATCTTATTTTCGATGTTAATCATAAAAATGAGTTTTCGATCTTATTCCTTTTTTATTGTTTTCAATATTGTTCCACATTTGTGAACTTCGATATAAAAACTTTTTCGAAATTGATCAGAAAATCACATTTTCGATGTTAATCAGTTAAATGAGATTTTTGATCTTATTCCGTTTTATTGTTTTCGATATTGTTCCAAATTTGTGAATTTCGATATAAAAACTTTTTGATATTAATCTGAAAATCACATTTTCGATCTTAATCATTAAAATGAGTTTTGGTCAGTTATTTTTCGATACTAATCATTTTTTCGATCAGTTAATTTTCGATACTATTCCCCAAGCAGTCAAACTTAAATCTGATCACTTTTCTGTGACGCTTTGAGGCTGGTGAATTCTAACCTAAATAAAACTAAGCTGTTTACTGCTTATAATCATCACAAGGTTGTTGATATTTCTTTGATCAATACTAACACTCTTACCTAGTTCTCTACTTTATTGATGAATATTAACACTCATAATGTATGCTCTACTCTATTGATGAACATCAACACTCTTACTGAATCCTCTATTTTATTGATAAACATCAACACTCTTACTGTGTCCTCTACTCTTTTGACGATCATTCACACTTCTACTGTGTTCTCTACTTTATTAATGAATATCAAAACTCTTACTGAGTCCTCTACTTTATTGATGAATACCAACACTTTTATTGTGTTCTCTACTTTAAGTATTTTTATCCTTTTCTATTAACCAAAGTTAGAGCCTGCAAAGGTTGCCTTACTTTATTGTTCTCATCGTTATTTTTCTCTTGATTCAATTTTCTACCTCTGCAAATCTTCTGTTCTTTCTTGTATGCATTATTGTTGTTATATTTTGGCTAGTTGTTCTAATGGTCTTTTTTCTTTTAGACAAGGTTCAAAATCATTTTTAAAATTTTGTTGGAACTGCAAGCTATCGTTACTTGTTTATCAATCAAAACTAAATTTCACATGATTTATTTTTCAGCAAAACTACATTTTTCAAAGAAGTTTCTTTTTTTTGTAACAACGTTTCATATTTGTAACAGTTACTTCAAGCTCAAAAACCTTTTCTTTTAGTTTTTTCCTTAAACACTTTGAAATGCTCTCCCATCTTCATGTTTTTCTGACTCTTACATAAAATTTACAGTTTTTACTATTTCCATCTGTTTCGATTCAATCTTTCTTTACTGATTTTAGAGATTCTGATAGTTTTTAGAAATATTTATTTATTATTATTATTTGTACATTACTTATTACTTTTAAAATAATAAAAATTATTTCCTTTATTACTGTGCTACCTGTACAATATTACTAATACATGTACTATTCCTAGTACAATAAACTAGTGCAATAGTACTATTACATATGTCTAGCATAATACACTATTACCATAGTAATAATATGGTATTAGGACTAATACTTTAGAATCCTTTGTCATAGTTCTTTTGAAGTCTAGGAATTTATCACTTTAACAGGTCTAACAACCCATTTCTTTTTTATCAAAAAGCTTATATAAAGCAAAATGCTTTAACAGTATTGTAGTGTCACAATATAAGTATTGCAGTGTCACAATATAAGCATTGTAGTGTCACAATATAAGTATTATAGTGTCATAATATATAACAATATTGAACGCAAAAAGTTGAACTTTATTGATTTTTAGTTTTAAAAGGTTTTAACCTTTTTTTAAACAATAAAATAATAATAAAGGAATGAAACAAAATATTTTAAAAATTACCCACCCAATTGTAGTCATACTGACAAATGCCCAATATACACCATGTAATATACCACGAGTAAAACTTTCATTAGGAAACTCTGCTTTATTCGTTTTACAATCCTTTGGAATAACAAGTTACATTTTCTTCAACATAAACCTCAAATTATAAAAAAAATCAAATATATAAACAAAAAATAAAAAAATAAAAATAAAAATTACCAGAACCCATATAAATATTCCACTGATAGTTGAGCAAAGGAATATTATTATGATAGCAGGCCAACAACTAAAAATAGCTGTTGCAACAGCTTGAGACTTGTCTAATGTTGCTGATTGATCTAATACTATGAATGCAATGCCTGGAGAATTTGCTATTTGTACATACTTAAACTGGGATTGAAATGTGTCATCAGATGCTTTACCATGAACAGGTAAATGAAAATGTACATTGTTATCAACTAGAGCCTTTAGCTCATCTTCATCTAAATTTAAAATTAAAACACTTAAAACTATTTTAGAATGAAAGTATAATCTAAACCATTTTTTAATTAAAAATAAAACTTGTTGTAAACAAAGAAAATGTTTTCTCAAAGATAAAAAAATACAATACAATTAATATATAAAAGCCAGTAATATCCTTTTAAATAAGTTTTTTCAAATTATATCATGTTGGCTCTCAAAAAAAATTATGTAAAAATTCTAAAAATATACATCATTTTATCAAAAACATAATACAAAAATAATTCTTATCTAAAGTACTTATGAAATAAATTTTTTTTGTTTTCAGCTAAAATAATTTTTTATGCAAAATAACTATTTTTTTTATAAATTAATAACTATCTTATAACCCAATATATATCACATATTTTTTAAATCGACATTATATTATATATATATATATATATATTATATATATATATATATATATATATATATATATATATATATATATATATATATATATATATATATATATATATATATATATATATGTATATATATATATATATATATATATATGTATATATATATATATATATATATATATATATATATATATATATATATATATATATATATATATATATATATATATATATATATATATATATATATATACATATATATATTTATATATATATATATATATATATATATATATATATATATATATATATATATATATATATATATATATATTTATATATATATATATATATATATATATATATATATATATATATATATATATATATATACATAAATTGTCACGCAGTTTTTGACATTTTTTGACCCTTCACCCCCCCCCCCACCCTCATACTGCATCTGTAACACTTTATTGACCTCTCCCCCCAACATTATGCAACAATTTTGTACCCCCTTCCCCAAAAAAAAAATTTTTTAAGTATTTTTAGAGAGGATGGAGGGGGTGCAAATTTTTACAAAACACAAAATGATTTTAAATATAATAATGTCTATAATTCTCTGAGATTCTTTGAGTTAAATAATTAGTACTTTTTAGCCTGTTTAATGTTTTTTTTTCACCTCAATAGTTCCATGTAAAATTGTATAAATTAACATCGCTCTACTAAACATGATACCAATTTTAAAAATCTATTTTTCCGATATATAATATATGCAAAATATTATCTATCTATCTATATATATATATATATCTATATATATATCTATATATATATATATATATATATATATATATATATATATATATATATATATATATATATATATATATATATATTTTATTTTACTTCACCTCCTCAAGGCCGAGAAGACCACTACAGACGAGGAGGCTACTTATTTTGTGACTATAACCCTCTCTCAACTCTATAACTCCGAAACACGAACCTTGACGAACAAGGCCGCTGCGCGGAGAAACGAGTTGAGCGCGGTACTACCAGGGACGTGGTGGGGATCGAACTCGGAACCACTTGTTTATGAAGCGAGCGCTCTACCACTACACCACTACCGCATTATATTATATTTATATATATATATATATATATATATAAAATATATAATAAATAATAACATGTTATACATGCAAAAATATTAATTTATATATACAACTTTCTTCCAACTAGCAACATAAGCGTGGTCGAGTGGATTCTGCTCCCAGCTAATAAACCGAGGGTTCAAGGTTCGTTTCTCAGTATCAAAAAGTTTCTTTTTTTTAGTTATTGCACAAAGATTGTTTTTTTGTTGCTGTAAATTTTTGTACAACAATTACATAAAGTTCTGCACTTGAACCATATAAATTCAAAGTGCAGAATGTGCACTGCACAATCAGCCGTAACAGTCCATTAACAGGCTGTAACCGTTAACAGGCTGTAACCGAATGTACACATCGACTAAGTAGGATTTAGGCGTAGTTAATATTACAATCAACATGTAGATACATTAACTGAGAGTTTGGTTTGGCAAGATACTCTTTTAGTTAAAAGAAAGTCTTCTCTAAAAAAAAATGTTGTGTCACAAAATCGAGACCTCCCTTCCCCCTCATAACAATTCGTGACGAAATTGCCTCCACCTCCCCCCCATATATATATATATATATATATATATATATATATATATATATATATACATATATATATATATATATATATATATATATATATATATATATATATATATATTTGTATATATATATATATATATATATATATATATATATATATATATATATATATATATATATATATATATATATATATATATATATATATATATATATATATATATATATATATATATATGTATATATATACATATATATGTATGCATGTATATATATATATATATTTATATATATATATATATATGTATATTATATATATATATATATATATATATATATATATATATATATATATATATATATATATATATATATATATATACTCTTGCATGGTCATCTTTAAGTTTTTTTAATTTTAAAAACCAGAAAAGTTTTTATTTTTTTTAATGATTTGATAGACTGCCTGCCCAAACTAGTCAGGCTATTTGTCAGTCAATGTAGCAGCACTTTGTTGCGAGTCAGGCTATTTGTCAGTCAATGTAGCAGCACTCTGTTGCGAGTCAGGCTATAAGATAGTCAATGTAGCAACACTCCGTGCATGTTTTACAGTTAAAAAATAAAAATAAAAACATTTAGAATGTTTTAAAAAATAAAATAAAAACATTCAAAATGTTTTTAAAAACATTCTATTCTTTTAATTTGTTTTTTTTTGTGGTTTACTAAATTTAATTACTTCCCGCAATTAAATTTATGCGTTTTGACATAATATAACATTAATTTTGTCAGCTTTATTACCACAAACAAGCGAAGAGCCAAATTTTACCACAAATTGTATATCTAATACCTTTACTAAATATATGTATATATATATATATATATATATATATATATATATATATATATATATATATATATATATATATATATATATAGAGAGAGAGAGAGAGAGAGAGAGAGAGAGAGAGAGAGAGAGAGAGATACACACGGCCAGTAGATACGGCACCTTTCTGTAAGGAAATTTGCTGTAAGTAAGCATTTTTTTACAAAAAAACTATTTGATTAAAAAAAAAAAAAAGTGCAGAGCTGTAAAACGTTTTAAGTTTTTGAATCTAATTAGTGTAAATTGTAAATGAAACAATTTTACTTTTTTTTTTTGCAAAAAAATTTAAAGGACTTTATATAGGAAGATAGATTTATCTTTAAGGCATTATTATAGCTTTTTAATACTTAGATGATGGGTGTAATATTTAGATGATGGGTGTAATACTTAGATGATGGGTGTAATACTTAGATGATGGGTGTAATACTTAGATGATGGGTGTAATACTTAGATGATGGGTGTAATACTTAGATGATGGGTGTAAAAACTAAAGATAGTAAACAATGTTTTATTGTTTTGAAAAAACTTTTGTTTTATTTTTAATTTTACTTGCAAATACTGAAACGGAACTTAATTTTAATTAATTAAAACAATTTGTTTGAAACAATATAAGTGATTATTTTGGTTCTGTTTTGAAATACAATTTTGTATAAAATTTATCATGTTGAAAAAAAGGTTATTACTTTTATTAAAAAAAATAGTTTTACAAAACAAAATGTAATTTTTTTTTAATTGTGTATGTATTTATACATAAAGGTGAATTTCCACTCATTTGATTTTCTATGGAAGTATGAAAGGTATGGGAAAAATGATCACATGAGCATGAATTTTAATTTGTCTGAAGAAAAACTATGCATCCTCTTGTGATAATTTTCCCTTCCCTATCCCATTCCAGCAGAAAAAAAGATAAGTGTAAACTCACCCTTTTTTTAATTGCTATTATTCTTATGAAGTTTTAATATAGAAAACAAAAAAGTAATCTAAAAAAAATAAAACAGCAATCTAAAACAGTGTACAAAGAGTAATTCAAAACAAGCAATTTAAACAAAATAGTAATTTAAAACAATGTACAAATAGTAATCTAAAAAAAAAATAAACAAATATTTAAATAACAACAATTTTTTTCAAATAAAGCATTTTTTAAGAGCATAATTTAGGAAAATCACATTAGCAGATGCTAACTTTGCAACAGTTTTGTTAAAATTCAGTAGAGACTCCAAGTCTCAAGCTGACACAGAATAAGTTTTGTTAAAATTCAGTAGTCACTTTAAGTCTCAAGCTGACACAGAATAAGTTTTGTTAAAATTCAGTAGTCACATTAAGTCTCAAGCTGACACAGAATAAGTTTTGTTAAAATTCAGTAGTCACTACAAGTCTCAACCTGACACAGAATAAGTTTTGTTAAAATTCATTAGTCACTCCAAGCCTCAACCTGACACAGAATAAGTTTTGTTAAAATTCACTAGCCACTCCAAATCTCAAGCTGAACTGGACTGAGCTGGACTGAAGCTGGACCTTGTTGACTTACTCCTAGATTTACTACCTCAAAGTTATTGAGGTTTAAAGTTACTTAATTTAAAGCTGCAACCTCAATAGGAGAAAACAAAAAGAGCTGCATAGGCAATACAGGGGTGGGACCGCAAAATGTGAACACTTTTCTGATTGTAATAATTAATTTTCTGTTAAATATGAACTATTTTAAATGTTCAATTTGACCTCCTTGATTCTCGTAGATCATTTTACAACGTTTAGACCAACTCTTTAGACACTTTCTGATGAGTGAGAGAGGGATGTTCTTCCATATGTCAATAATGTGGCGTTTCAAGCCGTCGATTGTCTTTACTTTTCGATCTTTTAACTTTTCAAGCATATATCCCCAAATACAAAAGTCCATTGGAGCGTTATCTGGACTAAATGGTGTCCACATTTCAGGTGGAATGAATTTGATTCTATTGTTGTTTAAAAATGAAATTGTCTTTTTAGATGTATGGCTCGGCGCCGAGTCTTGTTGGAATATGAAATCTTTTTTAGGATATAAACGCTTGCAATCTTCACTGAAAAATGATTTTAAAATGTTATCAATATAACAATCTGCATTAATTTTAACACCTTGTTTAACAAATTTAAGTTTTGTGGCTCCATTATAACAAATTCCGCCCCATACCATTATTGCCTTCGAAAAACTTTTAGGTCTTGTTTTAAACTTTTTGTGAATGTTTTTTCTATCTCTACTATAATAATAATCATTTTCTTGATTACAATTTGAAATGTGGAATAGTTTCTCGTCTGTTGTTATTATTTTTTGCCAATTTCTCTTTATTTGATAAACGAGCAGATCTTTGAAACCTCTTTTCTTTAGCAGCCGGAGACAAATCATGAACTTTTTGCTTTTTGAATTTGTGTAATTTGAATCTTTTTTTGATATAGTTGTTAATTGTTCTTCTGCACACACCAAACAATCGTGCAAGATGTGAAATTGATGGGCATGAGTCTTTTAAAACCAATCTTTTGAGTTTTTGAATTTGAGTACTTGAGAGCTTTAATGGCGGCACGTGGCGTTTCTTCTTTATTTGATCATTTGCAATTTTTTGGTGGTCTAAAGTAATCTCATTCTTTAACTTACTTATATAACCAATTGATACATCGATTCCTTCTTTGTTTAATATGGTTTTGATTCGTCTGTAACTAATTTTATCCATGATCATTGAAATTATACGGCTTTTTGGAATTAATTTATATTTTGAAGACGGCATGTTTATAAGTGTTGCGACTTTGTTTACATATTCATTAGTACTTTGTCTTTCGTTTTTTATCAAATAAACTCAACTACATATAACGAGAAAATAGTTATAATAAAACAAAAACGTTCACATTTTGCGGTCCCACCCCTGTACACAAGGAAATGCTCTTAAAGGAACATCTTAGATTGAATCAAATAATGGACATCATTTAAAAGATATTAATTTCACTAGCCACTCCAAGTCTCTCGCTGACACAGAATAAGTTTTGTTAAAATTCACTAGCCACTTCAAGTCTCCAGCTGACACAGAAAGATTGCATTCAAAATCATCTGACTCATTCAAAATCATCTGATTTTCGATTACTTATCAAGTATATAGTTTTACCATCAGCAAATCGATTCCCTTTGCTGATAGTAAAGCTATATACTAGATAAGCATATAGTTTTATTCTCCCTAAAAATCATATACAACTATGATTTTTAGGTAGGTTATCAAAGATAAGTAACAATACAAGACCAAGGATGGGACCTTGTTGTAATTTAGACATTGTTTGGAATGATGTAATTTGTTATCCATTTTCATACTGTACTATACTGTAAGGAATAACTCAATAACTTTTCAAAACCTTTCCAGATAAACGGTGTAAAAAGAACTAATGTAGCCTTCAATATGCTAAGTGAGTTAGCCACTGCCTAAGCACTTTATTTTTCAGAGAGTAAGTTATTGGACTTAAGATAAGGCATTAAAAAATTTTAAATTTAAGATTTAAATACATATTCATTTTTTTTTAATTAAAACTTCCAATAAATATTTATTCAATTTGCATTAAAAAATTTTTAATTAATGATTCAAAAACCTTTCTAATAAAAAGACTGGTACTTAAAGAGCTTAAGTAATCTCAAGATTTTAAAAACTGAAAGAAAATTTGCCAGCAGATAAAAACAGTTAGGCAGGTAACAAATTCAGCTTAGGAAGGAGAATGAAGATATATTGAGCACAAAATAATGGAAATATATTGAGCACAAGATGTGGTTAGAGATAAGATGAAAAGTGGTTAGAGAAAAGATGACAAATTAATAAGTAAAGTGATTTGGGTTTTCTAAAAATTGTCTATCTGTGCAAGAGTTTAAAAAAGAAAACAAATTGGAACTGCCAGCTCCAACTGCCAGCAGGATCAAACAAACTGCCAGCAGGATCAATTACAAGTCATCAATAACAACATTATTAGCAAATGGATACATAAAAAAGGCTTCTTCAATTTGATCAGAAACAACATCAAAAAAAATGCAGCCTAGGAAAAAAGAAAAAGGAAACAAAAGAAAATCAGTTGAGAAAAGATTTGCTAAATAAAGAAACATAAAAGGTCATTATGCTGATATTTTAAAGCTGTTGGTGGAATAAGCCTCTATATCACAAAAAAAAATCCTATATTGCAGGAAGCTACATAAGGAAATGTTCTGAAAGGAACATCTCAGATTAAATTAAACAATGGACATCAAAAGATATTAATTTCAAAACATAATGTGAAAATATTTCCAACCTATAATCTAAATATTTGCAAATGCCAATGTTAAATAAAACCAAAATGAAAAAAGCTTCTTTAACCTATTAACAAAGGAACACTTTTTTTCATGGTAGATCTTTTCTAATTCAACCCATTATTTTGAATGCTATCAAAAAATATTTTTTGTCCAAGTGAGAAAAGTTCCTAACTGAAAAAGTTTTGCCTGAGATACAAGTTTTTAAAAAAAAGCATACTTAGGTTACTTTACATAAATAGGTTACTTTACCTTCGACGTGTATATATGTATATTTATATATTCAAGTGTATTTATGTATATACATATATACACTTATCAATCAAACATATATGTATATGTGTGTATATAACTGTGTATATGTATATGTGTGTATATAAACTTTTTTATAAAAAAGAAACTCACTTGCTCGCATTGGAGATTTTCCATCTTTGGTTCGATCCCAATAAAGATTATATGGTAAAATTCCACTTTTTAAACCAGGATTACAGGTACATATTGATTTAGTCATGTTATTTAAAAAGTCATACATTATTCCTCCAGAAACATTATGTTGATTTCCATAAAGTAAATATTTATCACCATTGGCTTGATACCACGCAGTATAAATCATAGAGGGACATTTGCATGATTCTAAAAGTTGAAATAACAAATAGAACTAATAAAAAAAAATACAAAAAAATAGTTTAAGCAAGGAAAAAACACACACACACACAAAAAATTAAAGAAAGTAAATTAAAAATTTTGACACATCAAATTTAAGTAATGTTGCATACCAATATATATTTTGTTACTCATACTGCCTGTTCCCATGATAGTTTCACCAGCAACGTATACCGTATATTCAGCATTAAGTGACAGATTTTTAATGACATATCCAGTAGTAAAACTGTCAACCTTAAACAAATTTATTTACTTTGAGAAAAAAATTAACTGGAAAAAATAACTTCTTAAGAAAACAAAATAATTCAACTTAAAAATTTAACTTGAAAAAATGAAAATAAAAAATGAATTTTGAAAGCATAAAAAAAATTTATTAATAGAAACTTTTTTTCTTAAAATATTTTATCATATTAAAACATTTTTTATTTAACTTGGATTTGATTTTATTTTGAATTTCCAAATAATTTAGTGGTTTCTTGTTGGAAATAAATTTATCCATAACAACATTGAAAAAAGTACTTTTTTGAGTGTGTGTGTGTGTGTGTGTGTGTGTGATTAGTTTCCTTTAATGCTGTTAAAAATTGAGTGTTTTGCTATCTTAGGCCTAAATGCTTTTTTCTTTTTAAAAATGCTTTTAAAAAAGTTCTTTTAAAAAAACTAAGTAATCTTGATGAAAGAAATCATTTATGAATAAAATTATGCAGCCATAGTGCAGTGGCTAGAATTTTGGCTTAGAACCAAGAGGTTTGAGGTTTGACGCAGGCTGATAAGCTTCAAAAATCTATTTACAGCCTTATTATATGCATTTTTAAAATTATTTTTTATTTTAATTTTATTTATTTCATTTGCTGTATAACATTATTTACAATAAAATTTATAATATTATATAAGCTTCAAGAAGATTGTAATCACCTTATCATGAAGTGTGTGCAAATTAATGATAACTAATATGCAATGATCTAATGATTGTAAGCTGTATCCATTGATACAAAATAGTGAATTTAGTATGTTAAATTTATTTACAAATAAAAAAACGTATAAGCTCAAAAATAATAAAATAAAAAGAAATAAAAATAAGTTAAAAGTTGTTTTGACTTTTTTAAAACCTTTAAAAATAGTAATGTCATATAAGTATTTAGTAAGTTAATAACAATACCATATTATTGGTGTTATTAAATGCACAATAAAAATAAAAACTCTAATAAGCATAACACTTCTATATATTCTATTAGATTGTAATTATCTCAGCAAAACTTAAAAATCAATTTCAAAACTTTTAAAAATGTTTTTAATATGCAAATAAACAATACTTCACTTTAAGGAAAATAAATATGTTTCTAATAAAAGCACGCTATAGAAGAAAGCAATCATAATGTTTAGTTATGGTTTCTTTTAAAGTAATTGCAAATGCATTCATTTTAAGTAAAATTTTGTAAACGAATACAAAAACCATGCTAAAGCATAATTACTTTCTACAATAGTGTACTTAGATATTTGATTTAAAAGTAACATTATTGAAGAAAGTAATCATGTTTTAGCATGGTTTCTTTTGAAGTCTTTGAAATTGTTTTTCAAATTTTAGTAACTAATTATTTTTATTTATAAATATGTGTTTTTTACAATATGTAAAAAATAATCAATCGCGTAACTATTTGGAAAAATTGCCTAAATAATGCATTTGATTTGAATAATTTTAAACAAAGGCATAGGTTTGCATAAGTAAAAGTAAAGAAATGTGATGGTTGTCTTTTTTTAATAAATGTTCAATTTGTTGTCCCCTAGTATTATCAGCATAAAGTTTTGTTATATTTTGTAGGCAATCAGGCAAATGATTAATAAATATCAAAAATAACAATATATCTATGTAGAGGAAACATTACCTTATTTGACTAATTGTAAATGCTCAAATATTTAAAATACAAAAATATAAAATCAAAGACAAATAAATACCCAATCATCAATCATTGCAGGAGGAAAAATGTTCTTTCCATCTCGAGATATCCCATAAGAAACTTTGTATCGTAACAATCTGCCATTGATATAATTATTAGGTATTGGATTCCAAATAAACACAGCCTCCCTTGGGCGATGCTCATCAAGATACCAATCTGTTATAACAGGACCAACAGATGGAACTAAAAGCAGTATTATTTATTTATTTTGTCCAATTAGTATGTGCGGTAAAGAATAAAAACTTATGTGATCTATAAAAATCATATATATTACATAAACATCATTCTTTGATGATTTAGGAACTTTTTAAGTGCAATAATTTTGATTAAGCAGAAAATTGCTGAACTTTTCAAAAAAACAAAATTTTTAAATTAGTAATAAAACTTTTAAATTAGTTAAATTAGTATAAGTTTTTTAGGATAAATTAGTATAAATTTAAATAAAATTTTTAGATTAGTATAAATTTTTAAATATAAAACTTCTTTCTTGTAAAAATTTTTAAAAATAGGAATAAATTTATAATAAGAATTTATATATATATATATATATATATATATATATATATATATATATATATATATATATATATATATATATATATATATATATATATATATATATATATATGTATATATATATATATATATATATATATATATATATATATATATATATATATATATATATATATATATATATATATATATATATATATATATCATCTAAATTTACCATTTGTGGTAAAAAATAGCTTTTACCAAATCTTTGTGTTGAAAAAATAAAAATAAAATATACTTTATGCAAAAACCATTAAATTTAATTGAGAAAACTAATTTAATTCTATTATTTGAAAAAAAAAACACACACAGAAATGCAAAATAATACACTTGACGTTTCTTATTTAGTTGTGCTTTATTTTGTAGAATTTTGATGATTTAGATAAATACAGTTCAAGAAATTGCTGATAAAAAATTGTTTTATATTACAGTTTGCTACAGGAGAAAAAGCAAGTCATAAAGTTTGCTTTTTTGAAAGTTGGGAAACAATAAATAAACCATTTATGCAATTGTTACTTCTGCATTGTTGATCCCAAAAACATTGTCTAGTCACATATGCTCCTCAAATCAACATTACTTTATCCATTGTACCAGTACAGCACAATCATAAGATGTGCAGTAGCGTAGCAAAGAGCCTGCGGCAGCAGGGAGAAAAAAGGGATTTGGTAGGGAACCCCAGGGTTATTAAAGGCCCAAGCCAACTTATAAAATATATATTTTTTAAAGATGTCACTATAAAAAATAATATTATATTTGCTACAGCATATTTATAAACATAGCAACATTTTTTACTACTAATATATATAGCTAAGAACTACTAGTTCTTTTTTTTTTTTTAATTGCATGTATAATGACAGAAACATATTTATAAACATAGCAACATTAACATTTTTTACTACTAATATATATAGCTAAGAACTACTAGCTCTTTTTTTTTTTTTAATTGTATAATGACAGAACATTTAAAGCAAAGTGCAATAATAATGCTATTGTATACTTTATAATTGATTTCCTTTTTAAGCCAATTGTTGTTTTACTATAGTAAAACAATAAATGGATTTAAAAACATTGCTAAGAGTCTTGCACCCTTTCTTCATCAATAAGGCTAGCGTAGATGTGTTTATATAAATTGTTTCCAGTTTAGGATGTTGAATGTTGGATCTTCTTGACTCATTGCATGGGTTTTGCTTGTGTCCCTGTTTTTATGACTAGGCAACTCATTCTACTTTTTCCTAATGAAGGTACAGCTCTAAAACTCAGTTTTATGGTTCTGAGGCTATTTACTGATTCTATCAACAGCTGTAAAGTATCAAAGTACTAACAGTGCCAATAATAATGAGGCATTTGATTAGACTATTAAATAGCATACTGAGTACTATCTGTGCTTTGTGTCAAGTTTTTAACATATTCAAAAATATCAAAAACTATAAGACACAAAAAACCATAGTCATCACCAAATTCTCTACACCTATAATTTACTAATATTCATGGTCTTCACAGTAACTTTTGTTCTGTTGAGTCTTTTGCAAAGTTCACCAGACCTACTTGCTTTTCATGAGACTAATTTGAGTTTAGCTGTATCATCTAGTAATTTTAGTGTTGATGGTTATCGTCCTTTAATTTATAAAGACTTCAATAGTCACATGCTTTGCCTGGGCATTTACATTCGTAAGAACTCACCAATTTGTCAGGAAACTAAGTTTGAATTCACAGACTATTCATTTATGTGCTTTTGTTTAACACCACTTCACCCTATTGTCTTTCTCTTTGAATTATTGTTGATGACTTTAATGCTCATCACACTGTATGGCTTGGGTCTAGTGTCAGTGACTTGGCAGGCATTAAGATCTACAACTTTTGCCTTTCTAAATCTCCAACACAAAGAACCAATTTTTCAACATGCTTTCCAGACAATACAAATTATTTACCTTATCTACTTGACTTATGTCTTGTTTTTGACCCAAGTCAGTGCTCAGTTTCACTACATTCTTCCTTAGGTGCTTCTAATCACGGTTTGATCTCTCTAAAAAACTACTCATTCTGCTCAAACTATCTCATTCTTCTTCATCATTGAAATCCCCTTATCCTCGTACCTCTTTGGTACGATGATAAGGGGATTTTAAAACTATAAAACTGACTTTGACTATTTATTGCTAAAAATTTCTCATCAATATTATCTCTTGATTTCAATAGTTGTGTTCTACCTGATATAGATGACAATCAGAATAATCCATTGCCTGAAATTGTATCACTCCTTCTGTATTGAAACTGATTTTCTGTTTAGATTCTTCTACAGCTTGTGGTCTAGAAACATACCTGATAAAGTCTTGCAGAGCTGTTCTCTAGGGGCTAAGAAGCTATATTTTCAAAACTAGTTAACAAGTGCTAATCAGAGTCTTTTTTTCAATCCTGCTGGAAAGCAGCATCTATTATTCCTATTTTCAAAAATTTTGGAGAGCGATCTGACTGGTCTATTTACTGTCTTATTAGTCTTCTTCCTATCATAAGCAAGATTTTTGAGTATTTGATTAACATGCAGTAAATCTCTCATTTTGAATCTAATAACTTACTTTCTGATCATCAATATGGATTTCAATCTTCTTGTTTTACTGGTGATTTGTTTTATTGAACATTAGATAGATGTGGAGAGGCTAAGGTCTAGCTCACAACATTTCTGAAGCTTTTGATAAAGTTTAGCATGCAGGTCTTCTCCATAAGCTCTTTCATTATGATGTATCAGGTAACATCTTTAAGATTATTGAATCCTTTCTTACCAATCATCGTATAAATATGGTCCTTGATGTAAAGCACTCCTTATCATATCCTAATACTTCAGGGGTTCCTCAAAATTCTATTCTTGGCCTTATTTTTTTTTTAATTTACATAAACGATCTCCCAGAAATTTTCACACCTAAGGTGTAATTTTTTTTTTTTTTTATTATACTTCACCTCCTCAAGGCCGAGAAGGCCACTACAGACGAGGAGGCTACTTATTTTGTGGCTATAACCCTCTCTCAACTCTATAACTCCGAAACACGAACCTTGACGAACAAGGCTGCTGCGCGGAGAAACGAGTTGAGCGCGGTACTACCAGGGATGTGGTGGGGATCGAACTCGGAACCACTCGTTTATGAAGCGAGCGCTCTACCACTACACCACTACCGCATCAATTTGTTTGATAATGATACTAATATTTATTCTTGTCTCGATAAAAAGCCAACATTCTCTGATTGCTTGGAGGGCCATTTGAGCTTAAAGAGGATCTCACTTCTGTTACAGCATGGAGTTCTTAGTAGCTAGTGAACTTTAATTCAGTTAAAATTTAATTTTTTCCAGCTAATTGTTATTGCAATAATCTAGATCTTCCTATTTTTATAAACATTAATGTACTTGGTGAGTACCTATCCTTCTAGAATTAACACTTACTTCTGATCTTTCTTGGAAACCATATATAAAATCCAAAATCCAAAATTAGCATCTTAAAAGATTGCATCTCTAAGTGCTAGCCACTTTCTTACTCTGAATTCTATTCTTTATCTTCATAAACCTCAAATCCGTCCTTGTATGGAATACTGTTGACATATCTAATGCTAATCTTCCAATGGTGCCAATTTCTCTTTAAGACAAGGTGCAAAAACGCATAGTAAACATAGTTGGACCTGCTCTTGCAGCCAACATCTAACCATTATAAAATTGTTGTAATGTTGCTTCTGTTTCTCTTTTCTGTATATACTATAATGGCACTGCTTTATAGAATTAGAGTTTTTTGTGCTATCTACTAAAATCCATTCTTGTGTTACTTGTCATTCAATTAAGTTTTATCTTTTTACTGAGACTGTTCTTAAGGCTAGTTTTTTTCCTCAAACATCAATTCTTTGAAATTTGCTTCCTTCATCCTGTTTTCCTGATTCATATAATTTGCTATCTTTGAAGTTGTCTGTTAATCGCTATCTTGCTTTATAAACTTCATCTTTTTTTAAACCAATTCCACACTATAATTTGCTTAGAGAACAATTTTGCAAAAAAAAATTCTAGAATGTATATAAAAAACTTGTAGATGTAGAGCAAATAGCAAATGGTTCTAAACTATATAAACTATAAAATAGTTTTTCATTTAATTAGGGTTACACAGGTGCCATTAGAAGGAATCCTTTAATTTAAAAGGACTTTTTTAACAGCAAGACATAAACAATGTAATCAGAGACCTAAATCTTACCAAATAAAATGCTGAGCTTCTGATGTTCAAATTGTTGAACTTGTTAAATATACATAGATGAGTATTTGACTTTATGAAAACCCCGGAAATTTTTTTTCTATGATAATCCCGGAAAATCCCGGAAAGTTATTTTACTAAAAAGTGATCGCATTTAACTGACAAACGGAATTTAGATTATTTTAAAACGGAATTTAGATTATTTAACTTTTTACGAAAAAGTTTGAATGAATTAAAAAGCAAAAAAAAAATTGATTTCGTGAAAATTTTAATTCAAGAAAACATATTTGTTTAAATGCAAAAGTTGTCGTAAATTTTATGTAAAAATATATTAATTTTTTTTCAAATTAATATCAAAAAACATCCGCAAATTTCTGGAAAATTAAAGGTGTTTAAAGTGAATTTCCAGAAT